AAAGTGGCTTTGTGCGTGCTTTATGGATTGGCTTGATATTTTAGTGTTCTACATACACTGAGCTATGTCCCCTATCCTGGATTGCTTTCTACAACAGTAAAGGAAGGCTTCTGTGTATTAGCAGAGACCCAAACAAAGTGGAGGAGAAATGGAGGATGAGAAAGCTTTGCCTATTTACAGAGAGTGAAAAGACCCTAGGGGTGAGGGTGACTGTGCTTAGTGTGAGGAAGAGCCATGCAGCTCATGCAGCAGGAATGATTGTAGGAATTACACAGGGACCTGGGGACTGTGTATGGTGGCACACATCTTTAATCTTTATCCTAGCACATGGGAGACACATTTAAGGCACACAGCATATTTAAGGACAGCCTGGGCTACATAGTGAGGTCCAGGCCAGATTTAGAAGTATTGTGACACCCTGTTTTTAAAAAAACAAAAAAAAAGGGACCTGGTGCCAGATCAAATAGGGCTTCTAGATCACAGTCAGGATTCAGTTATCCTCTGACATGAGCGATACTGGAGAGTTTGATCAGTGGTCTGAGCTGATGTTTTGTTTTGCTTCTTTTATTTCGGATTGATCTCACAGAGCCCAAGTATGTCTCTAAATTGCTATGGAACTGAAACTGGCCTTGAACTCCTGATCCTCCTGTAACTGGCCTGGCAGAAATAAAGACATTCCAAAGTTGTAACATTTATGTCTCTAAATCTCACTATTGGACTATTGAAACAATAGACCCCAAAGGAACAAGAATTTCCCTAGTAATTTCATGCTGGGAAAAAGAAAAGGCACCAGCCAGAGCCCTGAAAAGAGCTTTTTACACAGTTCACACTTGTCAGACCATCGTACAAGAAGAGTCTGAAGCCCAGACAGTGATGGATCAATGGTGGGTAGAACCACACCTTGACTGAGATGCTTAGATATGTATATCACCTCTATTTAAACTTTAATCTCACTTTAGGACCCTGAAGACAGTCTGAAGGGGGCAGCTGTCACTGGGTCTCTTTGCCCTTTTCCCAATGTAGCCACATTTAATAAATTTTTCTCAGCTTTTTACTATTAATTTGGCTGTTTTAACTGACTTCCTGAGGACAAGTGGCCAAACTTGGCTTCTACAGGTTGCGATCCCAAGTTTTGGTAGCATTTCTGCCTCCATCTCCCAAGTGTGGGGATTAGGGGCTTACACCACCACATCTGACTTGACATGATCTGACTTAATGCTTTAAAATTCTGAGATAGCAGAGGAGAAAAGGCATAGCATGGAGAGGACAAATGTTCAGCTTGTCAGACCTTTAAAAAAATCTTGTGATATTAATTGGAATTGAACAGAATTTGTTGATTCAGGAATGCCTGCTGTATTTATAATACCGACTCTTCTATCCAGGACTATAGACTATTTCTCCAATGAACTGATTTGGTTCTGAGATGAGGCAGAATATTATGCTGTCAGGAGCTCTTGGCAGAGGCTGCTCATTTCACAGTGACCAGAAAATAGCCTGATAGAGAAGAGCCCAAGGCAAGGCTGTTGTCCCTAAATGCATGCCTTCAGTGACCTACTGCCTCCAGCTAGGCTCCCCCTCTAAAAGTATCCATCACCTCCCAATAATGCCATCAAATTAGGAATCCATCAGGGGATTAATACATTGATTGGTTCGGTGTGCTCATAATCCAATCAGTTCTCAATGATTGGATCCACCAGTTGGGAACCAAGACTTCTATATAGGAACCTTTCAGGGACTGGGCATTTTTTAACCAAACCTTAACAGAGTTACTTTAAAAGATATTTACTTTATACATATAATTATATTTAAAGGACAAGGGGAAAAGGGGAGGCCAATTTGTAAATATTGTTGGGACTACTGACAATCTAGCAAGTGGGATACTACCGACTTCAGATTTCAGTGAGGGAAGAAGGAGGGAAAGGGAAAGAAAGAGAGGAGAGGGAAGGAGAGAGAAAGAGAGCGATCAAGATCCTTAAGAAAATGACAGTAGGCTTTCTTGCTCTTAACACCATGTACCTTGTAGAAACTTCTGTGGCATGAGAGTGAAATAGAGGAAGAAGTGATTGCTGAAACGTAAGAGAAAAAAGATGTGGCAGAAGGCCAAGTAAACTAGCATGTATACCCATAGGGGCTGCAGGAGTAGAAATAAGGACTGTCAGATGTGATGCTGGCACAATTGCCAGAGTGTATGTTACTGTTGATAATTTGTCTCAGTGAATCTGGAACTTTCACCATCATCTGATCATCAAGACCACCTCTGCAAAACTTGCCTTAATTACAACCAAAACAGTCCCTGTTGCTAAGGCATTCTGGACTAGTTTTCAAGTGTGGCCAAGTATAACATGTATACAATAAATCATCTCTTTCAACGTTTGTTCGTAGCAGTTTCCTCTGAGGTAAGATATGCCCTCTTGGAGGGAAGCGCCTTAACACACAGGGTATTCTAAAAGCAGGAAAAACATTCCATCTTGCAGGAAGTTCCTTAAGCTCAGGAATTAAACAACTCAATAACTTCAGGAAGTCCCTGAAATTGGCCAGATTCACTAGGCCTGTATCCCCAAAGCATATGTAAGTAGTAAGGGGAGCAGGCCAAGCTACCTGGAAGAGTTTGAGACCAACTAGAACTACCTGGAAAAGACACTCTCCAACCTGCTGAGCTGCCTGCAGGTGTACAGTGCTCCAGGTTTCTTGATTTCTTGAGCTGTCACCCATGCTGGGGTAGATTTTTGGTGCTGTGACTGTCTTTGAGTCCTTTCTGCTCCTGTAACAGCTAACCCATATACTTAAGTAACTCCAATAAAGCTCACCAAGGTGAAGTTCACCAAGATGGACTTCAGGGTATCCTTAACTTTGGTCTGTCTCATTGGATTCCCCAGGAATAGCGTCACACATCATTTCAGATGAAGAAACAGTTTGCACCTAAGACACAGGTGTGAGCTTCTAACACGAGTAACCCTAAAGTGTTTTGACAAAAGTTATATCTATGCCAGGCATGGTAGTGCACGCCTTTGATCCCAGCACTGGGAGGCAGAAGCTGGTGGATCTCTGTGAGATCAGAACCAGCCTGGTCTACATTGTGAGTTCCAGGTGGGCCTGGGATATGGGGAGACCCTGTCAAAAAAAAATAAGCTATGTATATAATTTTGTGGGTTTAAATTTTTTTATTTTGGGCTGAAGAGATGGCTCAGCCCTTAAGAGCACTGGCTGCTCTTGCAGAGGACCTGAGTGAGATTCCTAGCACCCACATGGTGACTAACAACCATCTGTAAGTCCAGTTCCAAGGGAATCCAACACCTTCTGATGTCTGCAGGCACTGCATGACATGGCCACACTTACACACATGCAGGCAATACACTCATATACTAAAATAAAAATAAATTTTTAAAAAAACTTTCCTTTATGTTTTGCTTATATGTATATAAATGCACCTATGTCATACAATGCCCACATTAGCAAGAAGACAGTGTCAGATACCCTGGAACTGGAGTTACAAATAGTTGTTAGCTATCATGTATGTACTGGGATGTGAACCCAGGTCCTCTGCAAGAACAGACAGTGCTCTTAATCCCTGAGCTATCCATCTCTCCAGCTCACAATTTTCTGGGTTTTGAAGTTATGTTGTTCAAGGACATAATTTACAATAAGATTTAAAGATTACGAAAAGCCTAATTTTATAAAAAACCACAGCTGGGTGTGGCGGTGCAAGCCTTTAATCCCAGCACTCGGGAGACAGAGACAGACGGATTTCTGTGAGTTCGAGACCAACCTGGTCTATATAGTGAGTTCCAGGCCAGCTGGGGCTACAGAGAGGCCCTGTCTCAAAAAGACTGACTGACTGAATGAATGAATGAATGAATGAATGAATGAATGACATGGTGCTTTATTTATTTTGAGACAAGATCTGACCTTGAACTTTTTTTAAAAAGTTAAAAGAGCAAGTGCTTTTAACCACTGAGCCATCTCTCCAGCCCATGGCCTTGAACTTCTGATCTTCCTGCTTCAGCTTCCTGAGTGCTAGGATTACAGGCATGTGTCATTGTTGCTATTTTCTGTAGGTACTCTGATTTTTATCAGATGTATTGAATTTTCTGACTCCCAGTCAGATTTTGTCATGAGAACTCTTCCCCTTTCCTATGTCCCCCTCAATTTTCCATTTTTTATCCTGTCTCCAGTCCTGTGTGCAAAACACTGTTCTATGCATCATGTATGTATTATTAGCCCATTTAATTGCAACCCCATGTTAAGAAGGGTATAACATTACTCCAGAATAGAAGAGGGAACTGAAGTTTATGGCTTAGTGAGATTAGATAAATGGCCTTAGATCACATAGTAAATAACAGGGAGAAAGGGTTTCCAGACTACAATCTATAGTCCCTTGAAACAGGAATGTCTAAAATATATGAAAATGACCATCGGGGACTTAATTTTTTTAAATTTATTTTTATGTATATAAGTATTTTGCCTGCATCCATGTTGTGCAAAGCCCCGGTAGGTCAGAAAAGGGCGTTGGAGGCCCTGGAACTGGAGTTACAGACAGCTGTTAGCCATCATATGGGTGGTGGGAATTGAACCCAGATCCTCTGTAAGAACAGTCAGTGCTCTTAACCCCTGAGCCATCTCTCCAGCCCCCATAAAGGGCTCTTGAACTCGCAAGTCCTAACAAGGTTTTTCTGAATGGATCTACACCTGCCCATGTGCTCCCTATCCTCTAGATAAGCATTTGCCATGACAGCCTGTGAGCCTTTGTACTTCAGACGCGGCAAGAAAATAAAATACTTGGGACGGTTACACATAATCATTCAAAATCGACCATTTTCATCTCCACGGCCTAAACTTTTGTGACAGGCTCGCTGTACGACTGGACAAGCGATTTAACTACACTCGATGTCATATTCTCTGTCAACGGCCCGATAATAGTGTCTACTTCATAAAGTACTGTGAGGGTCCGATTGCATTATAAGCATGTGTTCATTAAGCCGTTTCTGTTTTTCACGACTCACTCCTAGCACCTGCCGAGCCCACGAGTTGCCTGTCGCGAACACGCTCCAGCCTCAGGCTTGGCCCGTCCTGTCTTCTGCTTCTTCCCTCAGCCTGGAATTCACAACAGAGTTGAGTCATAGACCCGCGCCTGGAGACTGGAAATTAAAACTCATGCCCCGCACATTCCTCAGGGTCAACCCGCGGCATCCCGAAGGTGGAGGACTTGGACGTCCAGCCGGACCGCCTCTCAATAGTAGACTCCGGATAGCGCCCCTCAGAGACGCTCACGCAGTAAGCATGTATCATGAAGCTTGGCAAGACGCGCAGGCGCAGTTCGTGGACTACAGCTCCCGGCAGGCCCCACGCGGCTCTAGCGTTTTCTGCTTTGAGCCATAATTGTCCTGGAGCCTGGGATCTACCTTCGGAAAGGATTTCAACTGACCTTTCTGGGGCCCATTCCGACACTGACTCAGCTGGATTCTGGTTCAAGCGCGTCTCAGGAATTTATCTTTTAGCAAACCTTTCCGAGGAAATCTAACCCAGACGGTGAGCAGTTTCCACCCTCACCGCTTTCCATGTGTAGGCCCCGCCCATTCGTGGTAGCTCCACCTATTGGCCCTTTGCTTGCCTTGCCTTCGCAAAGCAACGCTGGCCCTGGTCGGCGGTGAGTCTGTGGGCAGACCTGACCCAATGGGAGACCGAGGAAGCCCAAAGGGACTCGGAAGTCTGCGTGGTACTGAAGCCGTTGGTTTGTGACGCATAACTAGCGCGCTGAAACTTCCGCCGTGGAGCGCTGAGCCCTATGTGGGTACGCGACGCAGGAATAGGCGGTGCCGTGGCCGAGCTTCTGCCAGGGCCGAGGTTTTGATCTGGGTTCTTCCGGTGGCTTTTGGAGTCGCTGTTCATTCCTGTACGCAGCCTCGGGCGTTCTCCCAGGTGGACGCAGCTGGTGTCCGGACTTAAGCTCTCCGGGGGCATGACCATGGCTGCGGGGCCGGGCTCTCAGGACTCGGAAGGGCTCCTGATAGTGAAACTGGAGGAGGACTGCGCCTGGAGCCAGGAGCTGCCCACGCCTGACCCGGGGCCCAGTCCGGAGGCCTCGCATCTGCGTTTCCGACGGTTCCGCTTTCAAGAGGCCGCTGGTCCCCGAGAGGCCCTCAGCCAGCTCCAGGAGCTTTGCCACGGGTGGCTGCGGCCAGAGATGCGCACCAAGGAGCAGATTCTGGAGCTGCTGGTGCTGGAGCAGTTCTTGACTATCCTGCCCCAAGAGATCCAGAGTAGAGTGCAAGAACTGCGCCCAGAAAGCGGCGAAGAAGCAGTGACCCTTGTGGAGCGTATGCAGAGAGAACTTGGAAAACTGAGGCAACAGGTGAGAGAAAGCTGTTTTATCCGTGTTTGGCCCCAAGGACTGGAACATTATGCTTAGTGTCCTAGTCTAATATACTCGATTGCCCTGAGCAGAAGAGGTTTTCTTCTTTTTTTCTGTATGTGGTTTAATCTGGAGCATTTTTTTCTCTATATATTTCTTATATATAAACAGTGAGCTGTGACGAGGTCTGTTTCCACATGGAGGCGTTGTTTCTGTAGTAGTCCTGACTTAGATAACAAGTGTTCCAAGTCCTCTTACTGGATATTATCCTTGTCTTTGGGCAGACTACTTAATCCATTTGGTCCTGTTTTCCCACAAATAAAATGAGGATGCTAAAGTATTTTCTGGTACAGCTTTGAGTGTTAGAAGGAGAGAAGTATGTTAAGTTTTGATGACACTCAGTACTTGAAGTTTTTTGAAACAGGGTCTCATGTAGTCCAAGTTGACCTTGAACTCACTATGTAGCTCAGGTTGGCCCCAGACCAGTGGTGATCCTCCAACTTTTAGTCTCCTGAGTTTTGAGTCCTAGGATCACAGAAGTATGCCTCTTTTTCATTTATAAAGCTAGGTTCTAGAAATGTAGCACAAACTAGCCTTTGAACTCCAGGCAGTCTTCCTGCCTCAGCCTCCCTAGTGCTAGGATTATCCCAGACTTATGTTCTATACCTACTTAGTGCTTCACATCAATCAGATCTTAGTCAATAGTGTGGTCTTCTCTACAGAGCTGAATCTTAGTTAAACTTTGAAAAATTGAGCACTGAGGCTCTGCGAGCACAGCCTCCCTCCCCAGGGCCTCTGAAGTTCAGCTTATGCAATAGTGAACAAAAGCATCTAGAAAAGGTGAGAGAGAGAGCAGAGTGAGGTGTATCAGAAGAGTGTGTGGTGAATGTGCATTGGCAGTGGACCCTTCCTTTCTTCCCCATACCCCTCTCTCTCATTTTCTCTGGCATGCACAATCTGAAAAGCCTTTAGGATAAACCATCCTTCTCTTGCTGAGTCCAAAGGGATGATCTGTGGTTCTCTGTTGAAGGAGTGTCCTAAAAATCCTGTACTAATTTCCGTTTCTGTCAGCCCCGTTCTGATGATGAGTGATATGGGTTGGTTCCCAGGTCACAAACCAAGGGCGGGGAGCAGAAGTGCTTTTGGAGGAGCCTTTGCCATTGGAAACAGCAGGAGAACCACCGAGCTTCAAGCTGGAGCCAATGGAGACTGAGCGAAGCCCTGGCCCCAGGCTGCAGGAGCTGCTAAACCCCAGCCCCAAAAGGGACCCCCAGGCTGTAAAGGAGAGGGGTGAGGGACAGTTATCTGGGCAGGTGGGAGGGAGGAGTGGCTTTGGGGGTGCCCTTGACACTAGATAGAATTGTAGTACAGGTGCCAAGGAGAAAGAATTTCTGAAGTCAGAGTTCTCAGATGTGGCCGAAAAAAAACTAAAAATAGTGGTATGGGTTCTGCTGGGGGTGGTGGGTGGGAGGAAGAAGGGGAGTCTCTTAGAACAGCCTTTTTTTTTTTCTTTTGGAGACAGGGTCTTCCTGTAGTCCCAGCTGACCTGAACTCACTATGTAGACCAGGCTGGCCTTGAACTCACAAAGATCCACATGCCTCTGCCTCCCGAGTGCTGGAACTAAAGGCGTGCGCCACCACGCCCAGCTAGAACAGCCCTTTTTTGTGCAGAACTGGCAGTTTAGAGCTAGATCAATGATGAGAGGTTGGAATACTGTTGGCTAGGGTGAAAGACTGCTCACTTTCCTTTGCCATGACCCTGTCATTTTAGATATCACCTTATTATACCTTCTGCCATTTTTTGTTTAATGTTGATCCTAAAAGTTGAGACTGGGTGTTGGGGAATATATATTGTGTTGTAATAACCTGTGGGTTGCCAAGATTTAGGGTTACCGTTCTCATTATGATTTCTGTCACCTTCAGCATTATCTGCTCCCTGGCTCGCTCTCTTCCCTCCTGAAGGGAACATGGAAGACAAGGAGATGACTGGGTCCCAGGTGATGTGGAAGTTGTCATTTCTCTCCCCAGCATCCTCCTTTTTTCCCCTTTTTGGGGGGCAGGAAGGGCTCTTCCGTTGCTAGGAGGATCTTTCCTCCCTGATCAGATGTCTTCCTCACTTTCTTTGTCTCCTACACCCATCACTTAAATGCCTGGGACCCTTCTTCTCCCATGATATATGTCCTTGGTATCCCTGGGTTTTACCCCTTTAACCATGACTGCTTAAATTGTTTTTGTTGATGCTAAAGGAGATCTTGTGCTATTTCAGTTGCCCGAGAGCTTTGAGGACATGGCAATGTATATCTCCCAGGAGTGGGGGCATCAGGATCCTAGTAAGAGAGCTCTCTCAAGGGACACGGTGCAGGAGAATTATGAGAATGTGGGCACACTGGGTAAGAACTTCTTTTTCTGGGATCTTGACTACATTTATGTCCCTTGGACACATACACCTTCTGAACATGGGCTATGAGTTTGGCCAAGAAACCTCTCTTTGGTCTAAAGTTTCCCATACTTTAATCAGTTAAACATCTGCCAAGTGGCATAATTGACATACTTAAAGGCATCCCTAGACTATATCTCTGGTTGCTATAGTTGAACTGTAATGAACTTTTTTTTTTTTTTTTCATCTTTTTGAGACAGAATTTCCCTGTTGCCCCAGCTGACCTGGAACTTGCTATGTAGACCAAGCTGACCTTGAACTTACAGAGATCTGCCTTCCTCTGCCTCTCAAGTGCTGGGACTAAAGGCATGCACCCCCAGCTTGTAAGGGCATCACCATCACACACATTCAGTGTTCTTTTTTTTTTTTGAGACATGGTCTCCCTGTAGCCCCAGCTGGCCTTGAACTCACTATATAGACCAAGTTGACCTCAATTTCACAGAGATCTGCCTTCCTCTGTCTCCTGAGTCCTAGGGTATGCATTACCATACCCAGCTCCAAATTCTTAATCCATTGCACTAGAGATACTTACTCTTCTGAGCTCACTTATGTTTTCTGTGATCCTTTAGTGTTTCTAGGCTTTTTTGTCCAAAAACAAAGTTCAGGGGTACTGGCATCAACATACCAGTTTATTAACTGTCTCAGCCTATAGAAGTTCAGGAAAAGAAGAGGGACTTGTGGAAATTTGGAACAATATATACATGCAAAGTAGGCTAGGTAATATTTTTATTTTATGTGTATGAGTGTTTTGCCTGCATTTAAGTGTACCTGTGTCATGCACAGCCCACAGAAAGAAGAGGGCCTCAGATATACATGCAAAGTAGGCTAGATAATATTTTATTTTTATTTTATGTGTATGAGTGTTTTGCACTATATTTAAGTGTACCTGTGTCATGCAAAGGCCACAGAAACCAGAAGAGGGGATCAGATCCCCTGGAACTGGAGTTACAGATAGTTGTTAGCCACCATGTGGGTGCTGGGAATTGAACCCTCTGGAAGAAACCAGTGGTCTTAACCACTGAGCCATCTCCCCATTAATTGTAGCCCATCTGTGTATTGAACAATTACACAAAGATTAAAAAGGACGCAATGAAATATGACAAACCAATAGTTGAATTTAGGTGGAGAACATGTAGATATTAGTTCCTCAGCTTTTCTGTATATGTGAAAATTCTCTTAATGAAAAACTGGAAGTCTAAAGAATGTGCAGTGTGAATGGTTACATTGACGCATACACCAGTAAGAAATCATACCACAATTTGTTTTCATCCATCATGTTTGTGTAAAGAGAATGAGAGCTATGAACTCATTTGTACTGACTGTGCAGACTTAGTGCTTGCTTGTATTTCCACCTCCATATTTTCCATCATTTTTCGATTGCCTATGTTACCTAAAGTAGAACAACTCTTTTGGTGAGTGTCAGAAATGGAAAGATCCTATAAGTTTGTTGAAACTGAGCTTCTGTTTGAGTCTACTCATGTTTGCTGGAGATAGAGTGAGGTGTTCATTTTTCTTTTTAGCATAGCACAGAAAAATTTATAAGATTTTAATCTCATGGTTTTCTAAGAGTCCCTGGTTCTTTTCTGATTGTGTATCATATTATAATTTCCTTCTTCTGGAGTTCTCCACTTAAACTTAGTTCAGTTTCATATTCCTGTGTAGTCAAGGCTCTTCTGTTATAAATTGATTCTCAAAGAAGCGGCGACACGACCCAGAATATGTTTATTTTATTGTTCTTTGGATTACAAGAGTATACATTCTCATTGCAAAAAAATCAAATGCTTTGAAAATATTCAAAACCATAATCCTCCCTTAATTTCTTTTTCTAAAGTAACTACTGGGAATAGTTTAGTGTCTATTCCAAGTAATCAGTTAGACTTAAGGATTTATCTCTTCACTGCTGGCAGAAAACAAGACTGTTTCCCCTACCTGATAGAAGAATATAGTGATGCAGCAATCTGTTTCTTTCACTGTGAACAGAATCTTGCATTCCCAGTCAGGAGGTCCTAAGCACTGAGGTGGAACAAGGAGGGAAGCCATGGGATCCTAGTGTCCAGAGTTGCAAGGAAGGCGTGAGCCCCAGAAACCCAGTTCCAGGTAAGTAATAAAGATAATCAGTTGTTCAAGAAGGTCCTAAGGTGGTACATCTGAGGGTTTGGGCATATGGCCAGTGTACCATGGCTGTTACAGAGGTACAGTTTCCTATGTGTGTCTCCACTGCACATTCTCATCCCAGTGAGGCAAGTGAGGAGGGTTTAAACTGAGGCACTTCTCTTAGACCTACTTGACACTAGTGTCAGTTCTGCTCCCTCCCATCCATTCCAGAAGGATACAAGCCAACCAAAAAGCAGGTGTAGGCCTTAGGGAATTCCTAAGCTAGTCTGAAGATTGGTTTATTTTTATTTTATGTGTGTGTTTTGCCTGCATGTATGTGTACCTGGTGCCCTTGGATGCCAGAAGAAGGATGATGGAGCTGCCATGTGGGGTCTAAGAGAGCCAAACCCAGGTTTTCTGAAAGAGCAGCAAGTGCTCTTAACTGCAGAGCCATCTCTCAAGCCCCAGAGTTTTCTTTTTTCCTATGTAAAAATAATGTAGAAGTGTTTATTTCTTTCTCTACCAGGGGTAGAGAAGCTTGAGAACCCAGAAAGAAGTGCTCAGTCTGTTTCTCCTGAAAACACCCATCCTCCAGCACTGCTGCCTGGCCAGGCCAGACGGGAGGTACCCTGGAGTCCTGAGCAGGGAAGACCTGATGACAGAACAGAAGGACATTGGGAATCACCCCCAGAGGACCAAATGGAGGAGTCCTTAGTGGGAACTACAAGTTATAGAGGACTAGGACAACCAAAGGAACAGCCGAAGAAACTCCATTTGTGCCCCTTGTGTGGCAAAAATTTTTCTAATAACTCAAATCTAATTAGGCATCAGAGAATACATGCTGCAGAAAAACTATGTATGGATGTAGAGTGTGATGAAGTCTTTGGTGGGCACCCACATTTTCTGTCACTACACAGAACATATCTGGGAGAGGAAGCCCATAAGTGCCTTGAATGTGGAAAATGCTTCAGTCAAAATACTCACCTAACTCGCCATCAGCGCACACACACAGGCGAAAAGCCCTATCGGTGCAATGTTTGTGGAAAAAGCTTCTCTTGTAACTCTAACCTCCACAGGCACCAGAGGACACACACTGGGGAAAAGCCCTACAAGTGCCCTGAGTGTGGGGAGATCTTTGCTCACAGCTCCAACCTGCTTCGGCACCAGAGGATCCACACTGGAGAGAGGCCCTATAGGTGTGGTGAGTGTGGGAAAAGTTTCTCTCGGAGCTCACATCTTGTCATTCATGAAAGAACCCATGAGAAAGAGAAACTTGACCCCTTCCCTGAGTGTGGGGAAGGCATGAGTGACAGTGTCCCCTTTCTTACAAACCATGGAACCCACAGAGTAGAGAAGAAACTCTTTGAATGCTCAATTTGTGGGAAAAGCTTCCGGCAGGGCATGCACCTTACCAGACATCAGAGAACACACACAGGAGAAAAACCATATAAATGTACTCTTTGCGGGGAAAACTTCTCTCATAGATCCAACTTAATCAGGCACCAGAGAATTCACACAGGAGAAAAACCATATACCTGCCATGAGTGTGGAGACAGTTTTTCTCACAGTTCCAACCGGATCCGTCACCTGAGAACCCATACAGGAGAGAGACCATATAAATGTTCAGAATGTGGAGAAAGCTTCTCTCGGAGCTCACGCCTTACAAGTCATCAAAGAACTCACACAGGTTAGAAACAGTGGGATTTTTTTCCCCCCTCATTTTATGTGGCAGAAAGTTATCAAGAGCTGGTATTCTTTGCCCAGCTGGAGAAGTACTGTGTTTTGCAAATAATTAATATAAAGAGCAAATTGGACTTATTTCAAGGGAGGTGCAGAGGTAAAGAAGGACTAACTTAGAACTAAAGGAGTTCTGTCTGCAGTAGTAAGAATTCAAGTTTTATGAGGTAACCTTCTCAGGGCCACTTTTCTATTAAATCCATCTTGTCTCCAGGTACACTCACCTCTTGGTGTATTTAACCAAGGTGTGGTTGGGGTCCAGTGTTTATCCAACAATTTTGGGAATACATGTGATCTTATTTAGGACAGTCAACAGGAGTGTTTGGACTCCTGTGGCCCTGAGACCAAAGATGAGGGGCCAAGTCTGGGAAACCAGCTGATGGTTAACAGACTGATTGTAAGTTACATCTGTTTGAAAGATTGACTGGGGAGTCCTGGGAAGTCTAGGTCAACCATCACAGCACCCTTCTCAGTATTTTAGCAAGTGTATTTACTGGCATATAAGCCTGACCTCAGACAAAAAGGGAACTGGAGACCTAAGGGAAATCACAAGATAGAACTTTCATTTGAGTCCAGAACCTAACAGATTAAAAGTAGGTATGTGGCTATAGTCTACCTTTCCAGAGATTGAAACTTCCTTCTACCTGCCAGGAGTCAGGCGTTTCTAGGTGGAGGGTTCCATGATTCCTCAGGAAACATTAAAAACAGATCCTACAGAAATTAGGAATTATGTCTTTCCCTGTTAAAAATGTTTGGAAGATAATAAAATCTTCAGGAAATATGAGTATGTGTGACTCTTCATTGAGGACCTTTGTGTTGATATATTTTTCTTTGTGGGCTTCAAGGGTTAATCAGGAAGATTGAAACAAAGGTAGCAACAGATTGGCTGAGGCAGGGCATGGACTCTAGGTTGAACTGCTCTGTGCTAACAGGGTTAAGCTGAAATGAATGGTGGCTGGGATGGTCTAGGGTCTGCAAAAATTCTTCTTTCCTTCTCCCTTTATAACAGCAAAGATGTTTGCAACTCTGTTTAGAATGTTTATGTTTCTCTGAAGCAGGTCCCTTTTTTTTTTTTTAATGTTTTAGCTTAGCCTATAGAGTAATGGGTTTTATCATAGGATCTGTACAGATAAGGTTTGTTTGTTTGTTTATTTATTTATTTATTTAGGTCTTTTTGAGACAGGGTCTCCCTCTACCTCCAGCTGTCCTGGAACTTACTATGTAGCCCAGGCTGGCCTTGAACTCACAGAGATCTGCCTGCCTCTGCCTCCTGAGTGCTGGGATTAAAGGCATGTGCCACCATGCCTGGCTTTTTTTTTTTTTTTTTTTTTAAAGACAGGATAGTTTGGTGTTGCAACTGGTTCCCAGGAGGTCTTGATACAACATTATGTTGATCATTAATGGTGGGGAGATTAAAAAGGGCAGCATTATTAGGAGGAAAGCATTGTTGTAGAATGAGGAATTAGAATAGGAATACTAGGGATTGTCTTTGAGAAAGCGGTAGAATACCAGATGTTCTAAGAGTAGGGGATCAGATGCCAGGAGACTGTCCAGAGGAAGATATCTAACTAGCTGTTTGGAAAAGATGGTGGAACATCTAATAGCAACATTCTGTCAGTTTAGTTTGTGCAAAACTTGGTTTTCAGAGCCAAGTTTTAAGAGTCATTTTCTCATTTCTCTCCCTTTTTCTTATGGGCTATTTTCACAGGAGGAGAGCAGTGATAGTGTGAGGACTGAGGGGCAGAGAAGAAAGGTGAGGATAATTGAGATTAATGTAGGATCTACATGGAGCAGGTCCAGTGGGGTGAGGCAGGGTTGATATGACTGCTGGTGCCTTGAATTGGGTGGAGTGATGTGCAGTTGCTGTTCTACTACTAAGCACTCTGGTTAAGGTGGCAGTTCAGAGATTGTTACTCTGATTGTTATTCTCATCCCTCTTCCCCCTTAAGATCATCCATGTAGATGTTATGTGGTCCAACTATTTTATGGCATTGTTGGGTGACTTTTCCTGAACAGTGTGAACAGTTTATTCACCCTATATAGGGCACTAATGGCAGACCAAAGAAAGGATTCCACCCAGTCAAGCTTGTTCAGCCAGTGAGTTTATTGGAGTTACTTAGGGGAGCAGAACTTTCTGAGCTTGAGTTTCTTTAGCTTTGGGGGGGCGGGGCGGGGAGGGGCTCACCAGTTAGGCTAGGCAACCTCTAGGGGTCTGTCTGCCTCCCCTGTGCTGACATCACACCTGGCTTTTTATGAGTGCTGGAAGTCAAAGTTGGGTCCTGTGGTTATTTTTAGTCTTTCCTTAGCTTCTTAAGTCTTAATCAATTTCCATTCCCCTCCAGGACAGTGTTTCAGTAAGGAAATAGCTCCTTAACATGTTCTATTTTGAGCCTAAAGCTATAGCATCTTCAACTTCTTCCACAATTTCTTCTACTGACTTGAAAGTGAAGAGAGGGAAGCAAATTAGGGATAATTACTTGCTGTCATTCTAGACCGATCATAAAAACATCTTATCGAGCTAGCTTCCATAATGCTATAAACTGAGCCAAGCAAGTTGGAATTAAAGATGAAAAGAGCAGCCAGTGGTAATGTTATTTTTATTTTCTGTAAATTCTATATAAAAAGTCTAAAAAGCAAAATTCCCTACCCTCTTAACATTAAGACCCTGATTTCTTAGAGTGTGACCCAGTGACTTGTAAGGCCTTATACAAACAATTAGAGCCTAACTTCTCTCATGAAATTTGGGCTGACCTTGAACTTGATAGTAGCTTAAGGACTGAATTTTTCATCCTCCTGTCTCCACCTTTGAACTGCTGAGACTACAGGTATGCATCACCATGCCCAGTTTATGCCTAGGATTGAACCCAAGGCTTCAAACATGTTAGGCAACCACTCTACCAGCTGGGCTACATCCCTATCCTGGAAAATCTTTTCTGGAACTGCCTAGGAACTGAGAAAAGGGGTGGAGGGCTGATAGGTATTCCTAATCTGTTTATAGGTTAAAAGACTTTGTGGCTCCCTCAGAGTAAACTGTGCCAAGGAACTGAAGTTGAGACCAGGTGACTCCTGGCTGTATCTCTCAGGAGAGCCTTTGCTGCCTCCTGGGAAGCTTTTATTAGGAAGCGTAGTGTTTGGACATCACACAGAATTTACATATGATAAATGCTCAATCAGTGCAAAACAGTAATTTATCACTGTAATAAGGAAACAGCATGGTGTGCTCAAGACCATGGCAACTGGCCCAGTAACAGACCTCCCTTGCTGCATGTTTAAATAGGGTGAGGGTATTGGCAGCCTGATCCTAGCGTTCCAGGAGCCTATGTCTATCAGCCCATTCCCAGCAGGAGCAGGCATTCCTTCCCTTAAGTTTCTGTATCAGCAAAGCCCTAAGAAGTCTGTTAACTCTTAGTGAGCCAAGTACCATCCCCCTGAACGGACAAAAGAGGCGGCTACAAGGTTTAATTAAGCAGGATTCTGGAGATGGGAGGGTTTTATTAACATGGGATATTGAATAACATAACTTGATAGTAAAGAGGCCTTAAGTAGTGGGAGACAGGTGTACATGTTGATGGTAATAGTTGATATCCCTAAAACTACCATCTTGGAGCTTAACCTGTAATCTGGAAAAATAAATAGGGATCTCTTGAACACCCCCCAAGCCCACCAGGCTTGGATCTTCAACAAGAAGGACACTCAGGCAAAAGTCTGAAGTTATGCGAGGAATTTATTAAAGGGAAGGCAGGTACAGGTCAGAGAGAGATCTCCAGAAGGAACTGAACTGTGGGGTCCCACAAGTCCTTTTTGTCTGACTTGGAGTTGGGGTTACCTAGGTGATTTTTACTAACAGAAACAAGTTACTATGGATACAGCAGTAGCTGCATCTTCCAGAAGATCTAGTTTATCATACAGGAACAGCCTGTCAGCTCTGACCGCTGAAGCAGAGAGCTCGGAAGCTCTTAAAGTGGCACTCTTCTAATTTTCAATGTTCACGTCAAGCATGGCTCCCGACATTTCCCCCTTTCTTTTTATATTTTTCAAAGCTAATGTGCATGCCAAGACCAGGATGGAAAGACCGTGCCTGTTTTAGGTCGTCCTCTGCCAGAGTGAAAGCCGTTGGGGGCAGCTGGCGTCCCGCTTTCCTCTGTGAGGATCTTACTGGTCACTAGCTAACCGGCCTCTGGAAAGCTCCCGTCAGTTGGCCACGGCCTTGGGGAAGAAACAGGAAATAACGCACGGTGCCGCTGAGATAGAAATTTGAACTTTGGACCAAATTTGAATCGTTGGATTGCATTTTGAATCGATGAATTTTGGACCGAATTTGAATTGTTGGATCGCATTTTGAATCGAATTGTGAATCAGCATGCGGGCACTGCTGTGCTTACTGCTGAGCTTAGGCTGAGCTTAGGCTGCATAAGCCTAATTCCCCCCTCCAAGCGTAAAACAAAAGGACCCCAACGTGGTGAAGGGAAATGGAAGGAACTAACAACCTAAGGGCACATAGAGGAACGGGAAGACGGAGACAGGATCAGAACAGTGGTGCATAAATCACGGGAAAAATCGATCAAGGAGGGTAGTGAGGCATCATAGCCAAGGTCCGCAGAAAAGTCCAGGCGAAAAACAGTCCATAGGAAACGCGAACAGAGTCCAAAAAAAACCAGTCCAAGAAAATTGGGAACACAGGGTGCAATGTCAGTGGGTGCAATGCAATGACACAGGTGGCGTAGAGTCCGGAGAGTCCGCTAATTGAACGGGGCATTCAGGTACACAATGTGCAGTGTCAGCATCCTGTGGAAAAAACAGAAATATGCCCTCTCCCCATGCCACTACAGAGTGGCCATTAGCAACAGAGGAGGTACTGTCATTGGAAGAGCCAATAAGGCAGGGGGCTTTTGTCAACGATTACTGGAGAATGCCAGGAATACAGGCAATAGTGCCTCGTTGAAGGAAAGGTTGACGGATAGAGGGAAGGAAAACTTGATTAGGTCAGGGTATTGTGTCATGTCTGTAAGTTATTGTCTACTGTAGCTTAGGTTGTGATCTCAGCTATGCTAACCCGTAATCGCAGCAACGTTTTTCTTTTGAAAATGCAGAGCAGAAAAGATAATTGCGGCAGCCCGTTTGTGAGCCTGCTGCTGCAGACAACGAAAAACACAACAACCACCTACAAACAGTATGTAAAGAACAATCATCAAGGTAATCAAAGAAAATCCAGAACTATGTAAAATACTCTGAAACCATCTACGAGGATTGAGACCAGAGAGAGTATTTGCTAAAGAAGTAGCTATCTGATCAATAGAAGTAGCTGAAGGCAGTTCTTCCAAAAATGCTACAAAGGTTTCTTCCTGTAATTGCATCTCATTAAATGTTGCGTTATCCATTTTTTCCTGAATATACAGTTCTAAATTATGCCACTCATAAAGAGAAGCGTTAAACTTACATGGAGTAATGCAAACCTGAGTAGAATTCCAATCACATACATATTGTACAGTTTTCTGCAATTCTAAGAGCTTACTACCTAACCAATGAAATCCGCTTTGTAAAGCCACGATTTCATCTTGTAAGTGAGCATTCACCTGAGCTTGCTGTGTCCAAAGCTTATGGGAGTTGTCATGCCCATGCTCGACAAAAGTCCGTGTGTCAGCGTTTGAGCAGATTTCTGAAGTGTCACACCAGCAGTAGTAGCAGTAGCAGCCAAAGCAATAAGTCCTACAATAGCAGTAATAATCAGGCCAATCATGCATTTACCATGCCTTAACAACCTTTTGAAAAATCTCAGAATCAGTC